TTATTGTAGAGATGAGGTCTCGCTGCCCAGGCAGGTCTCGAACCCGCGGGCTCAGGCAATCCACTCACCTCAGCCTCCCAAAGGCGCGGGATTACAGGCTGAGCCACCGAGCCCGGCTCTATCTTAGCTTTTATGGCATTCATTTTTGGGGATTTGGTCAATAATTTGTTGCCAACTTTGATATGCAGGAAGGCATTTCCTACATATTCTTCTAGGATTCTTATAGTTTGAAATTTATGTTTAGGTCCTTGATCCGTTTTGAGTTGATTTTTGTATGTGGTGATAGGTAGGGGTATGGTTTCATTATTCTGTATATGGTCAGCCAGTTTTTCCAGCATCATTTGCTAAATATGGTCTCCTTTCCCCAATGATTGTTATTGATAACTTTGTTGGTTGAGACTGTGTTTTTGCTTCTGGAATCTCTGTCTTATTCCGTTTTCTATGTGCCTATTCTTGTACCAATACTGGGCTATTGTAGTTACTGTAACTTTGTAATAAAGTTTAAAGTCTGGAAGTGTGATAACTTCTGCTTCGTTCCTTTTGCTGAGGATTGCTTTGGCTATTTGTGCTCTTTTTCATTTCCATATAATTTCTTTATTGTCACTTCAAGGTCTGTGAAAAATGATCTTGGTTGTTTGATGGTTATTACATTGAATCTGTAGATTGCCTTGGGTAGGATGGACATCTGGACAATGTTGATTCTTCAAATCCGTAAGCATGGAATATTTTTCCATTTGTGTCATCATTGATTTGTTTGAGCAGCATTTTGTAGTTCTTGTTGTGACAGTCTTTCACTTCTCTGGTTAGGTGGAAGCCAGGGTATTTCATTTTTTTTTTTTTTGGTGGCTATTGTGAATGGGATTGTGCTTTTTATTTGATTCTCTACCTGCTTATTGCTGGTGTATAGAAATGCAACTGTCTTTTGCACATTAATTTTGTAACCTGAGCTTTTACCAGTCATTTATCAGTGCAAGGAGGCTTTTGACAGACTCCCTTGGGTTTTCAATGTATAAAATCATATTGTCCTCAAAGAGGGATGGCTTAACTTCCTCTTTTCCTATTTGAATACCCCTGATTTCCTTCTCTTGCTTGATTGCTCTACCTAGGACTTCCAGCACTATGTTGAATGGGAGGGGTGAGAGTGGGCATCATTGTCTTCTTCCTGTTCTGAGGAGGAATGCTTTCAGTTTCTGTCCATTGAGCAAAATGTTGGCTGTGAGTTTATCATAGACGGCTCCTACTGTTTTGAGGAATGTTCCTTCTATACCTAGGTGTTCAATGATTTTTATCAAGAAAGGATGCTGGATTTTGTTAAATGTTTTTTCTGCCTCTAATTCATAAACATGTTGTTCTTGGTTTTACATCTGTTAATGTGCTGCATTATATTTATGGTCTTATGAATGTTGAACCAGTCCTGCCTCTCAGGAATGATGTCCACCTAGTCAAGTTGGATGTTCTTTGAAATGTGTTGGATCCGATTTACTAGAATCTTGTTGAGAAGTTTTACGTTTATGTTCATCAAACAGATTTGCCTGTAATTTTTTTTCCTTGTTAGAATTTGCCAGGTTTGGGTATCAGTATGATGTTAGCATCATAAAATGAGTTAGGAAGAATTCAATCATTTTCGATTGCTTGGAATACTTTCAGTAAAATTGGTATCAGCTCCTCCTTGTACGTCTTATAGAATTCAGCTGGGAAACTATCTGGTTCTTGTTTCAACCTATGGAGGTTGTGTGATGTCGGAAAGTCCTCTGTTTCCTTTAGCTTTTCTACTTTATTTGCAGACGTGTTCGTAGTAATCCTTGATAATCTTTTGAATTTCTTCAGGGTCAGTTGTGACTTCACCTTTTGCATTTATAATTGTATTTATTTGACTTTCTCTCCCTTTTTA